CGAGCCAGTAGGCGTAAACTCAAAACACGGGTCAATGAGTGCTGGCCTCCTAAAGGACAAGGAAACTGATAACATCTAATAGAAAACGGCAGCTTTTGCAAACAAATAACCTTTACTGAATGTTGGAAAGCTGCAATTATATTTTTAATGATTTGGAAACTCATGATGAATTATAGCATCTTCCTTCTTTCACCTAAATCAAGTTTTGACATGTTTTACAACCAAAATGCACTCTTTAAGAGGACTAAAAACGTGGCAAAGGCAAAGAAATACAAGACTAAATAGACGTGGCTCTCGGTAAAAACAAAATAAAGTTCTTGGCTTGGAAACCGGCTGTCTTGACATGACCTGAAGCAAGACCTACTGGCCTAAGACAAAGAAAGACAAGGACTATTTATAGAAGGGTTGATGAGACACAGGTGGCAACAATCAAGGGCGGGGCCAACAATCACACAGGAAGTAAAGGGCTCTGAAACGAGAAGGAACAGACAGTGCATGGCGAGACTAGACATAAGTGACTGTAGCGTGTAAACATGAACTAAACATGACAACATAAGCAAACTTAGTGTGATGTCCCCGGGCGCTGTTCAAAATGGCAGCCCACTGCTCCTAACACTAGGATGGGTCAAATGCAGAGAAACAATTTCCCCACGGGGATTAATAAAGTATATCAAATCAAATCATGTTACTCATGTAGAACATACTATACCAGACCTTATCATGGGGAATGTCCAAGCTGCTGATCATTGGACCTCCAGGGAACTTTTTCTAATAAATATTCAGAGCTTCGAACCAAAACACAGTCTGTATCGTTCAGGTTTAATAAATGTGTTTTCTTCTACAACATTTGCTAACCTGAATATTATTTTCTCTCTGGTTTCGATTGGGTGTCACTTAGTGGAATCAGTTGAAACCAATAACAGTAAAATGTCATATCAACATTTAAAACATCGAGCCACAGAGCTTTTAACTAATGTTTCCCACCAAATCCTCCTTTAATGCAACGCCTTGAAGTGAGAAGCCATTATCGTCCATCACTATCAGCAGAACTCATGACAGCCGACTCTAGTGCCTTTAGAGTTTAATAACGGCTGACTCATCTCTGCCAGTCTGAACAGAACTATTAAGAGCTCGACTTTTCATTTGTTTGTCAGCCTTGATTTAGTTAAAGAGAATGATGGGCCCGCTTTTTAAGCATCACTATTTTTCACAGCAAGGTACTCACAGTCACTTAGATCAGGGAAGGTGCTGCTGTGTGCCGTCAGACATTGTTTGATATAAATGGGACAATAAAGTTTGTCTGAGGATTGTGTCTTCACAAAAACTTCACCCCGTTGATGTCAGGTGATTGAAACAATGTCGTAGAAACATTAAAAGACTGAGATCCATCGAGCTGTGTTAGCCGTCGAGCCTTTGGTTTTATTTGCTCTTAAAGAATGATCAACGACGAAAGGCGCTTTGTAATGAAAACAATGAGTGTTACGTGCCGTAGTGTTTGTGTGGTCGTGGGTGTGTTTTTTCTCTCTCTCCCTCTGACTCCCCAGGTGCAGCCTGATTGTCCCCAGGTGCAGACTCTCCCTAGGTGCTCCCAATCCTCAATCAGGGCTTCCATATAGGACCGGAGGAGGACGGCAGTGAGAGGCCTTTTCTCTCCTTCTCATCTGGCTGCATGTGTGCAGCATGTGAGACCCAGCATAGTTGTGTGTTTATTGTAAGAGTGTTTTGTAAGTTGGCTGGTGAGCCGTGTTCCTGTTTTGATCATTAAACGACTTGTTCGTTCCTCAGAGATCGGTTTTCTCTCCCTTTTTGTCGTGCTTGGTCATCCTGGTGTGTCGCTACTTCCCTTGGTACCCCTAGATATACAAGGGAACGTAACAATGAGTATATAAAGACTTCACAGTATTAACCTTTTACTCATTCAGTTTTGATGTAAAAATGCTCTTCATTTTCCATCGTCTTTGACAACTCTACATTTGTTTTAAAATGTGTGATTGCCCTTATTTCTTCCTCTGCAATACAAATAAAACTTCCTACACAACTTGTAGATTTCTGCGCAGCAGCATTGAGTTAAGGGCAATAACAATAGTCTGTTTTCTGCGTCTCTTTATTGTGGCTATTTCTGTGTTGGGAAACATTTCAATAAAGGTGTTTTATTCAGAGCAAGCGTTATTTCTGCTCACTGGCTCAGGAACAAACGCTCTCTGTGTCTTCATCACGCGAGGAAATGATCCTCGTGAGCCGCAGCCGTGCATCTTTATGGCTGATAACGGCAAACTAGAGAGGAGTGTGTTCACGCAGCAGAGCGCTGTTAATTAACAACTGGAGATATTACAGATGGCAGCGCCTACATGTCTGTACCGGCATATGTGTGTGTGGGAGTGTTTTATTTTTTACTCAATATGTCATTGTTTAAGATATATAAGAGCATTTTGCTCACCCACGCACTGAAACAAATTCTACAGGAGGTATTTCATTTTATATTTATTTTCCTTTTCTTCTCTTACAGAGACATTCTGGGAGTTTATGGCTTTAAATATGACAATATGTGACAGGTTAAGCAATATTTCACACATCACCTGCAAGGCATATTAAAGTCATGGACTGATTAAACCACAAATGGGTGTAAAATAGTTAAAATCTGTGTTACATTTTTTAAATGTATAAATTAGGGCCGTCAGTCGATTAAAATAGTTAATCGCGATTAATCGCACATTTGTGATCTGTTCTAAATGTACCTTAGAGGAATATTTTTCAAGTTTGTAACTCTTATTTTGTGTGTGTGTGTGTGTGTGTGTGTGTGTGTGTGTGTGTGTGTGTGTGTGTGTGTGTGTGTGTGTGTGTGTGTGTGTGTGTGTGTGTGTGTGTGTGTGTGTGTGTGTGTGTGTGTGATGGATCGTTGGAGCTATGTGCAACTCAAGGCATATGCTCGAACGGGAGCTGCCTGGACGCTGCAATCATGTTGCACTATCCGAGCTGAGTGTGCTGACTTTTCGTACAATGGCTTCCTGCATAAAGTCAAGGCGCAGTTGTGGCGAAATGTCGCTCCTCTGTTTTCATTTAAACAGCTCCTTATATCCGTTAGCGCAGCTAGCTAGCACCAGATGCTAACAACCACAATGCACGTAAGGTCTCTCTCTATGGCGGCAAATCTCTGTCATAAATCGCGAGGGCATATGAGATCCACGCGAGCACAAGTCAAGCAGCCGCGGACGTATATTATTTTCGCGAGCACTAAAACGGCACTCGCGCGAGAGCAATATTGAAGCCTGCAGGGGAGAAACATGCCTTGAGCATGTGCAGCATCTACATGAGCTCTCCTTGGTCTCCTGCGCTCTCGCGAGCAATTCCTGCTCTTCTGCTCGTAAAACTCTGGCCTGCTCTCGCGCGCAGAGACATTTTAGGAAGTGGGCGTACCGTGGCCCACTAACGCCAAATCTAATTGGTTATACCCCTCCTCTTTTATGATTGGCCGTTTTCAAATGAATATCGGAGCGGGAAAGCCCCGCAGAAGAAGAATGGCTGACGACAAGGAGGTACGTACAAAAAAACTACCGGTTTAACATAACTATCATTTTATCTGCTTGACGGGCATTTAAGATATTGACATTGCATTATTTACAAGCCACGGTATAAGAAGAAAGTGACACAGCTGTCTGCTTGCAATAATAAAAGTTAGCTAAAGTTAACTGTTAGCAGATCTGGATAAACAAGACGATATATCTTTGCACTGTGATTGTGACAATCAATTGGACTATTTCTTGTTTGTGTCTGTTTTAACAGATAGTTACAAAATGCTGCCAGGCGTGTTGTTGACTTGCTGAGAAGTGCCTTGGCTGAACCAACTTATCAAAATCGTAAGTGAAACTAGGGGGAGATCACTTGTCTTCACAGATTCATCTAATGGTCAGTCGTTTACAAAGAATTGCAGCTGCAGACTTGGCAGGCGGAAGCTCGCCGAGGTGTTTCAGTGACAGTTTTACCAACCCATATTAAAACCAGAGTGAAAAACTGAATTTCTCCATGGGGGATAATTAAAGGTTCATCTTCTTGTTCTTCTTCTATTTATTTTCAGGGCTTGTGACTATCTGGGTAATGTTTCATTAATGAAGCCTTTATATATTCTAACTACTTTACGTATTTAGGACTCAGTTTATTTCGATTCTAGGGAATCCTAGACATCTATTTGTGTTCACAGATGAAGTACAGGTTCAGGGAGAGCAGGTGGAGGTGGGCAACAGACAGCCTACTATACAGGGACAGCAGCAGTCTGCTCTTGGCAACAGGCAGCAGGCTGGGACAAGGCAGCGTCAGGCAGTCCAGGGGCAGCAGCAACAAAGGACCCCTGGCTTTCCTTCTACAGCAGGAAATACAGTGGATCAAAATATGGCCAGGTTTGGATCCGTTAGGAAATAAAGATTGTTCTGAACTGAATTGTCATTGTAATAACTCGGCAATTGACTATAATTCAGGGTATTTTTTAATAGAAATTAACGCTCTTCAGATTGTTTAGAATGAATATATTGTATAACAGCTTCTTAAATGCCTCTCTTACACATTGTTTTCAACTCCTCAGGGCTTTCCCCGGCCTATTCAAATCTGGTAAAAGCTATACCCCATCTCCCAAAAGAAGGGCTCTTAGGTCAACCCCAATCCAGTTCTTTCTGCTCAATAAGTGCACAGAAAGAACACCAAAGTCATCGGAGGAAATGGTCCTTCTCCAGGCTGGACTTGGCAGGAGGACTCTCAATATCCCGAAATTGCTGACCACTCCCAGGTAAGATAGGAAAAATAATAAGGAGTCAAGATAATATAAGAAGCACTTTATTGATCCCAATTTGGGGCCATTTTTTATGTATTACTGTAGTTTCCCAATCCACTGAAGTACTACTGGTCACAAATCAGCTTTAACAGAGGTGACATGTGTGGAGGGTTATAGATCTAACTGCACACTTGTTTTGCTCTTCCCACATAGATATCATATATACTTATGGTACCATTGGAAGGGGCCTGGATGCTACATAAAGCTGCTGGTAAGATAAAATCTCCCTTATTAAATTCAACTGTGGTCTAGTATTTCTGCAGTTAAATCCTATTTATACTCTATCTTCTCCTACAATAGCTGCTTTTATAATAGCTCATCAATGCCCTTGATGGTTAGCATATTTACCTACCCTCTTGTTTTTAGCAATCCATGAGAAAGCCTAACACTGCAAGTGTGCATCTTGTTAAAATCAACTGCCTCCCCTAGAACATTCTGTGCATTAAATAACATCCACTTGTTTGTACACATTCCCACATAGGAGGATCAGGCCAGCGGAAATTAAGTGTTTTGGTACCTGAGGCAGAGGGTTACACGGGGGCCTACCTTGCCAAAGCTTTAGGTGGAAAAGGCTGTCTCTATATAATGCCCATCCAGGACACTTTAGACACCTCCCCCTTGCCCTACTCATCGAAGGAGTTCGAAAATATGCCAAAAGCCAGATGTGCCACGTGTCATCTAAGCATGCCTGTCCAGCTGTTGGCTTTACACGCACAAGAGTGTGAACCAAGCAGCTGTTCTGACCGCATGGATCTGGAACCGGTAATGTTATTCCACAAATTACTATGCAGGATCATTGTCATACTGAATCGACAGCTTTTTTAACTGGTTACGATTTTCAGGATCTGGACCCAGATTTAGATGAGTCTCCAGCTACAAGCAATCCTGGGAATGTAAGCTCACTAATATTGTAGGTGTTTGTTTCTAAACAATCTTCATTGTATGTGTCATTAATTGGCAGTCTTTCTACATTTTATTATAGGCTTCTCCAAGTGTGCTCCCGTGTAGGACCTCCTGTTCTAAAATCGATATTGCGGTAAAATCAGTGCATTATTTATCAATTACATTATTGCAGATGATGAAGGTTTCTGCGTCTCAGTCATTCACTTGAATATTTGCTCTGCTTTTCTGTATTTTTAAAGGTGGCCTGTCCATTGTGCTCAGAGTTATTTCCAGAGTATTTTGTTGAAATACATGCCAGCACTTGTAGAGAAAGGTTTGTTTTCTCCTATTATGCACATTCTTTATATACTTTTTTCTTGCAGTGTTAGAAATTGTAAACCAGGATTAAGGCATGCCCCATTGAAATATGTTCCCCCTCATCAGTACATTGCAGTCAACACAAATTATCGATTTGGAAGAACATGCCAGTGAAGAACTGACAGGGCGAGAGAAAAGGTAATATGCTTCAAATGTACCTGTAATTGCTTATTTTAAACAAAAACGTCCTGCAGTTATTGTGTTCACTATTTGTGTTAATTGTACCGTACATCAGTTGCTCTGCATTGTTATTGTTATGCCTTTAATATCATTTAAAAGAGGCCACTTTACATCAGTCAGGGGTCGTCAGTTTACTCAATTATACAAAAGGGGTCTCTTAAGGGAAAACGTTTTGGATCCAGTTGTCTAATCAACTTCTAATTGTTTCCTTCAAGTCTTGCTGAAGCCATCGAAACACTTAGTGGACGAGTGGACACAACGACACTCTTTAGTGTCACTAGGGAGGACATCTTTGAAAGGGGTTTAGGGCAGTGGAGACGTCAGAAGAAGTCTTCTCCCAAAAAAACCCTCAGTGTCTTTCATTGGAGAGTCTGGAATTGACCATGGGGCTCTCAGGAAAGAATTCTTAACAGGTATATGTTTACCTCCTTATAATAAATGAAAATATTCCTCAGTGTGTGGCGGTTCTCTGGTTACATGCCGTTTCTGTGCTTGCACAGGTTAAGGGCTTTGCATGACGCGTGCTGTTCTTTAACATATACAGTGGTCTAATTGAGATTATCAATGTATTGATCCACTTTTCCTTTCAATTATAGAAATGATGGCAGGTGTTGAAAGGAAGTTTTTTCAGGGAGGGAGTACAGGGAAAACCCCCAAGTACTCAATTACTGACTACCACAAAGAGCATTTCAAGTATGTAGAATTGTGTTCTGCAATGTCTTTTCCATGTTTATTTGATTTATTAATGATGTCTATGCATTGATTAAACTTTGTTAATGCAGGACAGCTGGAGAGATTATGGCAGTCATAACACACACACCTCTTTGTAGTGTGAATATTTTCTAATTCTTAAAATAAGCTAAGGCTCCCATGACTTACTGTGTGATACTGTTTTTCCAATTGCAAAGGTTGAGATAGCTGAACCTGAAGCTATGTACGACCTTCTGGATCGGATAACAGCATGCGGGTACAGCGGTCCTGCCACGTGGGAGAGGAAGGAAGAAATAATAAAGTATGTGCATATGCTAAGTGATTTAACCCATAACAACCCATGTTTAAAACCAATCAATTATTCTTTTACACTCATACTTCATATTGAGTGTGCAGTCACTCTTTCCCTTTTTTATGAATGGTTTTATATTATATCTGTTACTGAATTATAGGGCAATTATCTTGCACTCATCGGTCCGCATCCTACCAATGCTGCAGCAGATATGCTCAGGCATGAAGCTGTATGGCTTGTGCGAGATGATTGTACAACAACCACACAATTTCAGGGATCTGTTCGTCCCTGGCCTTCATCAAAAGGTCAGTATTATGTCTCTAGATTTTACCACTGAATTTCAAACCTTAACCCTTTAACAGCCAGCGCCACCATTTGGTAGAGCACATTTTGTGTCTTGATATCTTGTTGAAATTTTTTTTTAAAAGTTTAACTCCATCTGATTCAGCCATCTCTACCATTTGAATGACATGTTATGCACAAAACAACCTCTAGATGTCACTGTGGTTTGAACAGAAAGCCCTTCAGCTAGCTTCAACTGAGAAAGTTGGCATGCTAAAAATCACTGCTGACGAAATCACTCTTTTTGGTCAACTTTTGTAAAGTAACCATGTCAGAGCACTTACTGAACAGAATTATAAAACTTGATGCACAAAAAAAGTTTTAACAAGGGTGTAATCATTTTTGGGAAAATCTGCTCAACCAACCGGTCGAATTGGCCTTTTATGGTAAACTAGCAATATGACTTTTTCAGAGTTTCAGAGATGTTTTCCAATAAAATATGGTAAATAAATGGCTAGATTCATGGTAATATTACTACATCTAGTCCTGCCTTATGAGTCTCAGATTGATAATCATTTATATAGCACCTTTCATGCATGGCATTCAGCCCAAAGTTGCACACAGATGAGCAAGTTAGGCCAACACAGGATATAGACATTTGCTGTTAGGCCAGTGGTTTATTCTTAGGCCAATTCAGCATATACAGTAAGATGAGCAAGTCTTTTTTTTTATTGTGAAAAACACTTGACATTACTTTTTATATCAATATTGATACCTTTTAAAACAAATGTGTTTGGTTATGTGTGGCCCATTTGATAAAAAAATGCAAACAAATAATTTTTCCATAGCTTTTGTCTTGGTCTGGTAATTAAAGGGTTAAGCTCATCCAACTTTGAGCATACATCATTTTGTTTTTTCTTCTCTCCAAGCCGGATGCTGAATTCCTGATGGGAGCCATATCTCCAGTCTTCAGTGAGCTGGGCTCGCTGCGACGCCAGAGGGAATCGAGGATTATAAACTTTTTGCAAGACTTCATCCAAAACATTGAAGATGAAGGTGATACTACTGCCCTGACATTTTATAAACGTATTTGTTCTTGAATTGTACCCCCGATTACGACAGGCAACTCAATGACAGCTTTGTATACCTGTTTTATTCATGTTTACATGTCTCAGTTTAAACACAACTTTGCATCATGATAGTTGCGATGAAACAATGATAACTCAAACAGGACTGGCTAATGAGGTTTTCTTCTTCAAAATATCCACATAAAAAACAATTTAAAAACAATAGCCATATTTATTGACATTGCTTAGGTGAAAATATGCATTTCTTTGTATTCATTTTCAACTTGTTTTAAGAGGAAGAAAAGAGCTTCGTGGTTGAAGAGAGGGGGACCCCTGTGAAGGTAACAGAGAGTGATCTTGATGATGGAGACTCAAGAGAGATAGAGTCTACAGGTGAACCGGCGAGAGATGAAGAGGAGATGAAGGAAAAATACAAGATCACTGTTGGTTGCTTCCTTCAATGGCTTACGGGGCAGGCACATGTCCCCATCACCTCAGAGAGAGAGAGATTTAAAATCCTAATTGAATTCGACCACGATTGCAGCGTGCGCTATGGTACACACACTGTATGCTTTCCAGTGGTTAATGCATGCTCCAACTCCATTACCTTTCCGACAAGGCACCTCGGCTCATATCCGGAGTTCCTAATATTTCCTTCTGGTCAGTTTGTTAATTCAGTTATGACGCTATACCACAATTATCTATTCACTATTTTATTTGTATTTAATTATATTTTTAAGAAATGTGGTAAATCTTTATTGAAACAATTATGTCAAATACAGAATAAGGCACATAAACATCAATGTTCATCATAAACATTCCAAAAAATAAGCTGAGGGCATTTGAACATAAAAAAAAAGTGGTCATTCAGAAATTAAAGTGCCAGGAAACTTGCAAAATTCTTGGGCTTTTTTACATTTGCATCATTTTATCCTTTGTTTGTATAGTATTATTTATTTGAGAAAGGCAATAAAAACTGGGGACATTTTGAAAAAGCGACATTTGTGAATAAAATATTTTGCTAAAGTAATCAAAATTATATATATACATATATATATATATATATATATATATATATTAGGGCTGTCAAGTTAACGCGTTACATATTACTTTAAAAAAAAGTAATATATTACACTACTTCGTTACTCTCTACATAAAGTAACTCGTTACTTTACTCGTTACTTTACTCGCAGGGCCGGCCCGCCCCTCCCTGCAGGCAGATCACGCAGACTGCTAAAGTTTCAAATGTTCTCTTTAGTTCAGTTTCCATTGTCGCATCAGACTGATCCAGATCCTGCATGTTCTCCTATCTGACCGTGGCTGTCCTCTGTCTCCTGATATCTGCGCAGTCTATCTCTGCTCACGCTGTTGCGTCGGCGTGTTCTCCTGCGTGTTGGCCATGTGTTGCACTGGAACCAGACACCGCAAATACTTCAGCCGAGCACGTACGAACTGCGCATGCGTGAGTGGCAATAACTCTCCTTACCAGCAGGCGGCGGTAGTGTGTATTCGTCATTCAAAACAGAAGAAGAACAGACCACGTGATATAAACAAACAACAAATAGCTGTGCGTTAGCTTCACCTTAGCATGTGTTCTTTGCAGGTGTTTGTTATGACTGATTTTAGTAAGTAACGAAGTAACGCGTGTCGGGGCAATGTAGTAACTGTAGTGTGATTACTGAATTATAAAAGTAGCGCGTTACACTACTCCGTTACCGACAAAAGTAATATTATTACAGTTACACCCAACTCTGGTGGAGGCTTACATGCTAGCGGGAGTTGGGTTTGTACTTCAGTCTTTCTTCTTTTGGTACCGGTGATATTCACGTTCGGGTGATGCCTTTTCAAATGAGTGTGCAAGTTTGATGTATTGCCAGCCGCGTAACCTATTTTAGTTGAACAATGCCGACAAACAGCTTTGGTTCGGTCCACCTGTCTTTGTCCTTCATCCTTGTACGTAACTGCGAAACCAAAATGTTCCCAAACCGGAGACTTCAATGATGCTGGAGGATTTTCAGCTCAACTTTATCTGCGTTCGCCATTTCGACAGTTCCTCAAATTACTGACTACATTTGAACGCATCCCTCTGACCAGCTCTCATGTATGCCTCTCGTCCAATGAAATGACTTGCTCGCTCTATGACGCGTTGAACTCAATGAGAGCAAATTACTCTGAATGCTGCGACGCAGCACCTGAGATTACTTCCAAGAAGTTGTTCACATTCTCAATTTTTTACGTTTAACGTTATATTCGTTCGGTACACACGTTTACCGTACCGAAGGGCCCGTACCGAATAATTTCGGTACGAATACGTATACCGTTACCAGAGTTGGGTGTAACGCGTTACAAAGTACTGTAATAATATTACTTTTGTCGGTAACGGAGTAGTGTAACGCGTTTTATAATTCGGTAATCACACTACAGTTACTAACATTGCCCCGACACGCGTTACTTCGTTACTTGTATAAAATAATCACACTAACTGACAGACTAGAGGGGTTTCCGCCGCAGGTTTATATACATGTAGGCCTATGTAATCTGCGCGACTTGCGAGACCACATCTCCACGTGCAGTGCTGCATAAACATGGCTGAGTCTTCTCATCTGTAAACTGCCGCTCGCTCTCTTTTGTTGATCGCCCTCTCACGGGTGAACAGTTCAATGTCCCGCTTCATTGTAGGAATTCTGTCTCTACCACTTTAGTTTGACCATCTCTGTTACTAAGTTATGGAATACTAAATAAATAAGTAATTAGATACCTTACCGTTACTGCGCTCATAAAGAATGATAAGAATAATGCGTCTTGAACTGGTTTCATTAATTAGTGTCTTGACGTTTCACAGACTGTTAGTTTGTTGTAGGCTGGTAGCCTATTTTAGAGCATATAAAAAGAAAGACTTGTGTTATGTCTTCCTTAATGCAATAGTAATTGGGGTGCAAGTGGAGTCTCGCAGAGGCAAAACTGTGGCGCGCTTCACTGTAGGTGCGCCGCAGTCTGCGTGATCTGCCTGTAGGGAGGGGCGGGCCGGCCCTGCGAGTAAAGTAACGAGTTACTTTATGTAGAGAGTAACGAAGTAGTGTAATATATTACTTTTTTTTAAAGTAATATATTACTATTTTTTAGTAACGACCCCATCTCTGACCGTTACACCCCTACTATGATGTGTTTTGCTCAAAATACAAACAGATCATGCATTTTAGACATCCCTCACCAACACAGTCTCACTCCCTGAACGTCCAGGAGCGACGCTTGGTCGTGGCGCCGAGGCTCCTTCAGCTTCATAAACGGACGCAAAGAGCTTTCAACTGATTGCAATGTATTCCCATCGGCGGTGGTGTTTGACGCTCAGGGAAGCACCGCATCGGTCCATGTCGGCAGCAGTTGAAGGCAATGTGAGCGTCCATTCCCATTGGATAACGGAGGATTTTACACCCAGAAGTAAGTATTCTCTTTACTTTCTATTGATTTTACAGTGATATCTCCACTACTCATCAACTCAAAAACACCAGATTATCCTTGTTAATTACACAACATTGATTGGTTTAAATTGTGTACAATGCTTTTGTATTTTCCCCTTCGATTCGGAGAAACAAATGTTTTTTCGGAGTTTAGGATGGCAGTTTACTGAACTACACTACCCAGAATCCTCAGCTATCGTTTGGGACTACACATGTGCTTTGCTTGACAAACCCCTGATTAGTCCTCAAGCTCTGTGATACTACATACTGATATACACCTGAAAACGAGCCGAATATGTCCACTTTAAGAGGATCGAAAAATGGGTGTCTGTCTTGTGAATGCATACTCACACTCTTCAAATCTAATCCATATGGCACATTATAGTATCATATTTAACACAAAAAAAGAACAACCTTCAAATCAAAGTGATTTTTGTCAGCATAAGATACCTGCTGTTACTTTGAATTACAAACCACATCTGAGACTTCTGCATCTTGTTGGGAAACCAAAACTAAGTTTTGATGACGGGACAGAAAGTGTTGTGACAGGGGAAGAATATTTGCTGTTTCAAAGGGATTCCTCCCTCCTTCTTTTCACTTTCCAGGACTAATGAGCCTAAAACACACAGCTTTACCTTTAATTGGAAAGCTGTAGCTGCTTTAGACCGTCTCAGAGAGAAAGATTGTTTTTCATCTTTATCCATCAAGTCAGCGTTTACTGCACATGAAGAAGAATGTAAACATTTCATTAGAAAATCCACAGCATTACTAAACTGGTAAAGAAAATGCCATCTTCTCAGGCAAAGGGATGAGGCTTGTTATCAGTTTAAAAATAGCAGCCATCTCCAACCAAAAGTAATTGGATTAGATCAAGCCCTCGTTCCGTTTCAATATGCAGCATTTATGTCTTTTTTGGCACCAGAAGTTACTATAATGATACATTAGGTGACATTTTGTTCTCCCTTTAAAATGTCTCCCCATTTAAAGCAGATTACGAATCGGTTCATTTGAACTTTTCAGCAGTGAAGTCTTCTATTCAAATAAAATCACTCATCTAAAAAAGAGGTATATCTTTTGAGTTGAGTCCATTTTCTTTGTCACACTTTTGATTATAACATAACACGTTTTTCAAACTTTGTAAGCAATAAAAATAGCTTAATAGCAACTCCAGCAGCTGTTTAACTTTATTAAGACACCACAGGGCTCTGAAATGTTTTTACATCAGTGTTAGCATGGTGAGGTTTAGCGTGTTAGCATATGGTTATTTGCTCAATAGCATAAAACACAACATAAAGCAGAGGCTGAAGGGAATCTCATTAGTTTTGCATAATTTTACTAAAAGTGATAAATGTCGAAGGAGTTCCAAAGTTATTTGAGGTAAGCCTACTTTTCTGCTGCAATATATCCAAATGGATATTGTATTTATTCATGCTAATGACATGATTACTTTCAGTCTTTTTCTTTATTCTATTTCGCCTCTGGCAATCTGACCAATTTGCTTTTTTTTTTAGTAGTGTTGGGCTATAAAGGAACTATAGCACGGTCACATGACTTCACGTCACCACCGCTAAGATAAAGGTGGCTAATGTTGGGCTATAAAGGAACTACAGCACGGTCACATGACTTCACGTCACCACCGCTTAGATAAAGGAGGCTAATGTTGGGCTATAAAGGAACTGCACGGTCACATGACTTCACGTCACCACCGCTAAGCTAAAGGTGGCTAATGTTGGGCTATAAAGGAACTACAGCACGGTCACATGACTTCACGTCACCACCGCTAAGATAAAGGAGGCTAATGTTGGGCTATAAAGGAACTACAGCACGGTCACATGACTTCACGTCACCACCGCTAAGATAAAGGAGGCTAATGTTGGGCTATAAAGGAACTACAGCACGGTCACATGACTTCACGTCACCACCGCTAAGATAAAGGAGGCTAATGTTGGGCTATAAA